ATGGCACTGCCATTTCTTCATTGTACCAGTAAAACAAAAAATATATTTGAGATCATTCGTATTAGTATTGTATTAGTCAGTTTAAGTTAAGATATGCTGTCATAATAAGCAACCCCAAAATCTCAGTGGCTTATATCAACAAGAGGTTATTTTCCCCTCAGGCTCCATGTTTATTGCTGGTTGGTCACAGCTCTGTTCTATGGTTTCTTTATTCAGGATGAGGAAGCAGCCCCAATCCCTCATGGCAGAAGAGAAATCAAATACACCAGAGCCATGTGACGGCTCTTAAAGCTTCCATTTGGAAGAGGCTTAAGACACCTTCACCCGTATTTCATTGGCCCAAGCAAGCCACATGGCCAGGGAGGACACCATCAGAGCAGCCCGCACATCCCTCCACTAAAAGAAGCAGTGAATATTTTGAACAATAAGACAGTCTACCACCATACCTAGGATACAGAATACTTGAGTAGAAGCTTTCTTTAACGGAAAAAATGATAAGCATAAGAGAAAATGCTAGAAGAACCCAAATGCAGGGGTTTGGGTTACTGAAGAACACATAAGAAACTGACAGCAGCTATCTTCCTAAGCCTATCACCAGAAGAGTTCCCAGAGCTGAACAAAGAACTGATATTAGAAATCAGAGGGACACAACCTGTCTAAGGAAAAGTTTATACATGGAGAGGAATGCTAAGTTTCAAGGATGAATAATGTTTAAATCTCCAAGAAAAAGAGAGGGGGATATTCTTTTTTTGTTGTTGTTAATATTTTATTTATTTATTTGACAAACAAAGATCACAAGCAGGCAGAGAGGCAGGCAGAGAAAGAGGAAGGGAAGCAGGCTCCCTGCCAAGCAGAGAGCCCGATGCGGGGCTCGATCCCAGGATCCCGGGATCATGACCTGAGCTGAAAGCAGAGGCTTTAACCCACTGAGCCACCCAGGTGCCCCGAGAGGGGGATATTCTTGATGAAGGAAAGGGTACATCTGTGGGCTTCCAGAGGTAGGTGCCAACAGGGGAAGTCTGTCCCATGTGCTCCACAGCTACACCCTCAAACACTCGAGAGAAGCCCTAAGAACACTCGTCTCCCTTCGACAAGCTTTGCCCCTGCCAATGGGCAGATGGCCGGGCCACCCCAGAGGTACCGACACCACACTGGCTGCTTCCAGACCTCAACAGCATTTTTCTCTCCTCTTGCTCATAAATTTGGATCTGCCCATGTTCACTGAGGACAGTCTAGTGCCCAACCCTGCTCAGACGTGTCTGCAAATTATCTGCATGCAGTAAACAAAATGTCTCTGAAAGGTTAAAAAATGATAAAAATCACATAAATGTATATTACAGATAAAATTACATAAATAAGAATATTAATAGATGAATTATAAAGAAAAACAGGGGAAACACGGGCACCACCAACACAGGGGTGAAAGTTTCAAATCAGAAAAAAAAAGTTAATGACTTGAAATTTAAGGAAGTCAAGAGCCACGCTGGAATTGCATCCCTAATCGTTCACATCTGTGCAGGGGCACATACGGGAGAGGGGGCAGACAAGAGAAAGAGAGGGAGGCAGAGGTACAGAGGAAGGAGAAGGATGGGAAGAATCCAGTAAGGGACATCAGGCACGTGGAGAAAGCTGGTTAGGGGCCATGTCCTGACCTCCATCCAGAGCAGGCTCCAAACATTTTCCAAGAAGTTCCTTAGAGCCCCCCAAGAGGGTTCCTCCAGTGGAGATGAATGTGGGAAGCACCTGACCCCCTAGCTCCTGGAGAAGCTGGCCAAGCTAGGACTTCCCACTGCGGTTCCTTTCTGGGGGAGCATGTGAGAACCCAGGCTGTGGTTTCTCCCTGTGAATTAATGTGCTGGCATGAATTCAGCCAAAATCAGTGTCTCCTGAGCTTCTTAGTGTGAGTCCCACCTAGTCCTCAGACAACCATGAGTCTGTCCCCTGATCCCCACAGCCTATGGAGTGGCCTGGGCAACCACCACGCTTCTCTCCTATGCCCCGTTCCCTGTTCTTCCTTCCATAGGGAAACTCAAGCCCAGCCGACATGACTTCTTGCCCCGTTGGTGCCAGCGTTTCTAAGTACCATGTGCCAGATGCTAAGCTCCACGCTATGGATATAACTTCAAGATCATCCTTACACCAACTTTTACAGCCAGCGGGGACCAGGATCACCTGCATTTTAGAAAGGAAGGAAACAAGGCTCAGAGAAGTTAGGTAAGTCTCGGAAGGTCACAGAGCCGGTGACAGAACGAGACTTAGAAGCTGGGTCTGCCTCAGAGGCCTGAGCTCTCCCACAAGAGAAGTGCCTGGCTTCCCTTCCTTATCCCAGCATCTTTAATGGTCCCTGCAGCACATGTCAGCCTGGACCCAGCAGGGTCTTCAGGAACTCACCCTCTCAGTGGGGACACAGACAAACACACCCGAAAGAACGACACCAATAGGTGAGACACCACAGAAGGTTCAAGGTGAGGCGAGAGAGTGCTGTAGGGAGTTAGGCCAGCGGACCAAGTGAGTGAGGGGAGGTGGGAGCTGCCCCTCCAGAAAATGGAAAATCACCAGTCAGCCCCGCTTCCCCAGAGCCTGCTTGGGAATGTGATAACCATGATAACAGACACGGACAGTGATGGAAAGCGAGCCTCCCAGGGGAGGCCCCCACAGCCAGACTCCACAATTACCAGCAGCTCACCGGCAGCTCACCGGCAGCTCTGGAGAGACAACAAGACAGACAGTTCCTTCACTTGCGATGCAGGAAATGTTTTGTGTTTTCTGCTTCGGCTTTAATTCTGAGCTAAACAAAGACCCGGTGGGTGGGAGATGGAGTGCTGCCCAGGGAGCCCACTCCATGCCTCCCAAACATGGTTCCAAAACCAGAGGAAGAGCAGGAGCTGGGACTGGGGCTGGAGGGGAGATGGCTGCCATCCTGGGAAGGGGCCAGGGCCTCCAGCCTACACCCTGGGGAGCAACACACCCAGCCACTTTGCAAGCCCCACAACAGTCCAGAATCTATGCTTGGAGGCTTCCTCCTCACACACCTGGAATGTGGTGCGAGTATCATCCCAATTTTGTGCAGGAGGATACAGGCTCACACGGAGTATGTGACTTGCAGCATCAAGGGACAGAGTCAAGTTCCAACCCTCCCTGTCAGAACCCAGAGCTCTATGTTAGCAGGGCTCGCGGGACCCTAGCAAAGAGGCAGGTCAGACAGGGCCTGCCAGTCTGGGAAGAGGGTGGGATTCAAAACCAGCCACTGTCCATTCTCTGGATGAGATGTGAAAATGCTAGCACCAAGCCCGGCACTGGGTAAGTGCCCAGTAACCGCCGCGACTCAGAAGACTGAAAGATCCATGAGGGCAGGGACCTCATCTGCTTTGCCCACCGGGGACACCAGCACCTGAAGGGTGCCCAATGACCCTGCTGGGAGATGCTCCATCAGCGACGAGGGATCCATGCCCTAATGGATGCTCCACGGATCTGCGGCAGGCTTTGCTCACCAAAACCAAACCCCGGACATTTTGGGAACATTCCTTTTCTAAACTCGGGGCTAGAACAGTCAGAAACTCTGGTGCAGCAGGCAAGGAACGGGGAAAAGGCATGACAGAGGAGGAAGAAGGCAGAGCAAGATGCAGTCTGCCCCAAAGGCCAGATTCTGCCACATGCAACCCAACTTTGAGGGCCCTGGGCAGGCGGCACATGTAAGTAGCACCAGAGCCATGTATGCATCCAAAGAGCCACCAGCACACTGGTCAACCCTGCTCCCCAGACCAACCCCCAGAAGCCACCACATGGCCACCCTGCTCACCACCCCATCATCAGAGACCAGCCCAGGACCTAGTACAGAACATGATAGAACATGAAAGCCCGAAGAGCCTAGAGTGTGCTGGGCATTGCTCCAGGAGCTTCACTCTTCATAATAAGTCTTGCAAAGGGAAAGCACTATTCCAGGGTCAGCAAGTGGCAAAGGTGAGGCTCAGAGCGAAAGCAATTTGCCTAGAGTAACACAGCTAGGAGGTGACAGCAATGAGTCTGGCTTCAGCCTGTGCTCTTTCCACTGCCACATGTGGCTTCTAGAAGGAGGAAGAAGAGGGACACAGGGGCTCTTCTGGAACAGAAAGCAGTTACTCTCCCCTGAGCAGCTTCTCTGAGCCCTGCTCCTACTGAGCCCAGGGCAGCCAGTGCGGCAGCTCCAAATCTGCCAAAATTTACCCCAGGCCAAAGCTAAGCCTCCCCTGAGATTCTGGTCCCACCCAGCCAGGAGCCTGCCAGGCACTGGGCTGACGTTGGGGAGCCAGGAGAGGGGGCCTTATTTGCCTAGCCACCTTGAGGAGCTTGGGTCCCTCAGCCCACCACCCTGGTCCATGTGACTGCATCCAGGCCCAGCAGCTCTCCAGAGTCCCCAACATTTCTCCTCCTCTTAGCCATCTAGCGCCCATTAAGCAGGAGGAGGAGTCTTGGCGGAGCTCCGCCCATAACTCTGCCCCCCCCCGCCCCCCCAAGGTAAGCGGAGGCAGCGGCTGGCGCTGTCCAGAGTACCTGCACTCCCCTACTGCACTGTTTCATTACTCCTCCCCACCCCGGGTGAGAGGGACCGTTATCTCCCTTTCACGGATAACCAGAGCTCAGAGAAGTTAAATGACTTGCCAGGAACGCACAGCTGGTGAGGCGACGTGCAAACCCAGGGCGTGAAACGCAAAGCCCTAATAATCACAGCTCAGCACAGCCTCTCAACGCGCCCCAGCTGAACCGCATTCCTCCGGAGACTCTCGGCATTGTGCACACAACTGCAGGCCGGCTCCTTCCCCTTCCCCCAAGCCACCGAAGCTGGCTACGGAGAGCCCCGGAGCCAGAGCCCATGGGGCCGGTACCCTCGCCCCAGCAGGAAGCGCCCTTCGCGCCGCGTTCCCAGGCCCGCACCGTCCCCCCTCTCCTCTCCCCAACATCCCACCCCCCGCCCCCGGCAAGCCGAGCCACGAGCATAGGCTGCATTTGTGGGAAACCAGGGCTCAGCGCTCGGAGAGGGAGAGGCAATTTATTCTGGAGAAAACATCTTTGTTCTGCGAGTGAAGGGGAGCCATTTCCAACAATTTAATGCTCTGTTCGCGGGCCCGGGTGCTGGGGTTGCAGCGCGAGGCTTGTTCTTCGAGGCAGAGCAGCACATAATGAGGCTTCTCACTGCCGCTCCCCGCCATCCTGCCAAAAACCAGAACGGTTATTTATCCATTAATCTGACATTACACCCCCTGCATTTTATCTGCTTAAATAAATTTGGTGGTTAGAGTGTGTGCCTGGCGGAGAAACTCCCGCATTCAATTTCCGACGCGCCAACGCGTGCAACGCTGCCATTATAAACTCGCCTTTGACGTCGCAGGGCCTCCGCGGTCCCAGCAGCGAGGATAGGCCTCTCCCAGCTAGGCGAGAGGCAGACCCTCACGGGGCAGGTCTCCAGAGACTGCTCCCTGAGCCTGCAACAACTGAGTTAATTACCTGCTGGGTCCTCCTTCTACCAGGAGACTCTCCACCTCCTTCTGTAATCTACTGGGTTAGGAAACAGAGGAACACCTCGAACCTAGACCCCCACTGCCTGGGCTGGAATCCTGGCTGTGCCACTCAGAAGCTGTGTGACCTTGAAATGTCACCACCTTTCTGTGCCTCCGTTTTACCACCTCCTTCTTAGGACTACTGTGAGAAATAAGAGTTAATATTTGCGTAAGTGCTTGGAACAGTGCCTGGCACATAGTAAATGTTCAATAAAAATTGGTTTAAAATATATATAATGTTTGGGGCGCCTGGGTGGCTCAGTGGGTTAAAGCCTCTGCTTTCGGCTCAGGTCATGATCTCAGGGTCCTGGGATCGAGCCCCACATCGGGCTCTCTGCTTAGCGGGGACCCTGCTTCCCCCTCTCTCTCTGCCTGCCTCTCTGCCTCATTGTGATCTCTCTCTGTCAAATAAATAAATAAAATCTTAAAAAAAAAAAAAAAAATATATATATATATATATATATATATAATGTTTAAAATCCACAAGTGTGTGTAAGCAGAGATTTGGAGATGAGCTTGACCACTGGGACCTAAATGTGTCCTAAATTCAAGAGAGAGGGGAGTAGAGCAGTGACCCACTCACCTTACTTCACCCACTCTACCCATTTCACTCAGTTAAGAGTGGTCATAGTCAGGAGGGGTCATGGAATACTTCATTTGAACAAAGGGTCCCACTTCTTGAAAACATCTGAAGTCCCCTTTTCTATTCCATGGCTTGCATTTTACAGAGGAAAAATCTAGAAGCCAGAGAGGGGAAGGGACTTGTCCACGGCTCAGCAAGTTCACAGCAGAAATAGAAGCAGAATCCAGGCCTTCTATCCCCCAGGCCCAGTTCCTGGTTTGGGGTTTTCCGGTTTTGGTTTTGTTTTTTTTCCCTGCAGCATGAGACCTCCTGCCCATCTACCTCATTTTCAGTAAGGATCTCACCAACCTCTCTACATAATGCCAGGTCAGGATGCCCCATGATAATGCCCAGCTGGGCACCCTCCTCTCCCAACCCAGCAGCTGCAACATCACCCCACCCTGGAGCTAAGAGCCTAGCCCAATTGGCAGGTGAAACACCATAACACTCAGGCTTTAACATCCCATACCCCAGAGACTGGCAGCCCCCTACCCATGTATCCTTCATTTCGAGTTTCTGTTCATCCTCTGCAGCATCTCCCTGGCCTAGAAACTTCCTGGAATTTCCTACCTGTCCTCTTTATAACTCATCTGCCCCTTGGGGATGTCTTGTACCCTCATTGCCAGGGCTGGGTCTGTGCCCTACCCTGCAGGCTAGAACCCAGCACTGGGTGACACCTGGACCCTGATGCAGCGCCCCCACACACACACCCCCACCACAGAGCTTTGGATGCAGGCCCCACAGATGGAGCAGTGGTCAGTGCACACCCAGCCTGAGCTCACCACACCCCTCTGGGGGCTCTCCCAGCCAGGTCCATTCCCTGAACACCTCTCAGAGGGCTGGCAGCTCCACCCGGAGAAGGACACTTCCACAATCTTCTTGCCCAGGAGAGGCTGGCCCAAGGCCCCACGCAGACTGTTGAGGTGAGTGGGGAGCGACGCGGTGAGTCTGTCACCAGAGAGAGGAGCTGTGTCCCACACAGGAGCCGCTCTGCCCAGGCAGCTGCAGGCCCAGCCCCTGCCTCCTTCCAAGCAACAAAGAGGCAGGCATGCGGGCAGACAGACGCCCAACACAGAGACCTCCCACTCGATTGCTGTGTCACTACTTGCCCCTTCTTCCCCAACCCCCCAGATGAGGAAGTCCCTCCAACCTGTCACCAACCGTATACCCTTTGCCAACCCCAGAAGTTCCCAGGGGAGAATGGCTGCTGCCTCCTAACCTCCCGGAAACCCCCTGATCGTTGCCATCCATTACTGAGACCTGGTAAGACCTCAACTAGCCCAGCCCTTTTCTTCCTAGCTACATTTAAGAAATTAAAAGTGCTGGAGGCATGAGGAAACACCCCTGGCCACACACTGGGGCCGCTCCCAGCTCCCAGTAGGCATGTGCTCCTGGACTTCCCCTGCTTGAGCACAGTCTCATCTCAGATAACTGTCCTCACTAGCCTCCTACTTTACTTCCCTGACTGCTCCACCTCTTTTGACTCAGGTCCATCCTCTAGCTCATGGGCACCCCTGATCAATGCTGCTCCTGGGAAAGTGATCTGAGTCCTGAATCACATCAGCTTCTGATCCCTCCAGCCCTGTCCCCTGAGAACCGGTGCCAGGCACTGTGCCAAGTGCTCCAAAGTCTAAGACTTAGAGAGGTACGCCCCTTCCATTTCACAGATGAGGACACAGGCTTCCCCGGGGCACAGAGCTTCTAAGTGGCCCAGCCTGAATTTAAACCCAGATGTGTCTGAATCCAGAGCCCCAAGTCTCACCACCAGGTCTGCCTGTGTGTACGGAGCCACCCACAGACCTGTTCTTGCCCCGTGAGTGAAATCAGACACTGAGTCTCACTCCCACAGCCTCAGACAATGGACGAGAGCTGGGCCCTAAGGGCCATGTGTTCTGTGGGTTCTGACTGGGGGTCTGTCTTCCTTCAGTGCCACTAAGACTCACCTGTCATTGGCGACGAATGGAAATCAGCATTTTACAGTAATAAAAGGCTGCTCCTGGTTAGACATCAAACGAATCAATCTTCTCTGACAGTTAATTTTCATTTTGCAACCTTCCCTGGTGACAACGGCAAGTAATGACCCTGAGCATCTGCAAAGTCGCAGTGAGAAGTAGCCCAGCCTCCCACACCCCTGGCTCCTGGTTGCTGGGGCTCAGCCCCTCCCCCTCCCTGCTGGCTGATCAACAGCCCCCTGCCCCCACCCCCTCACCCCATCCCCAGGCCCCCAGGCCACATAGATACCTCTCTGCCCAGGAACCCCTCACAGAGTCTCAAGCCCAAACTGCCTTCCTGGGGCCCAGAGACCAGAAACAGACATGGCAGAGCTCAAATGCAAAGCCTCTGGGACAGTCGCTGAGAGCTCCCTCATCCTCATTGATCCCCCCTCGCCACACTATCAATGATCCTCTCCCAATACCCCCATCATCACAGACTCCCCAGCATACCTCTGGCCCCAGCTGTGACCCCAGGACCTGCCATCAACCCCCAAGGCACGGCAACAATGACCCTCTCGGGAAGTTCCCCAAGCATACCTTTCTCCCTCCCCCAGGCCCCACCACAGAGCATTCACATACAAGGCACCCCTGACAGCCCTCAATATCATCAATAACCCCGATACCACGTCCGACCCTCAAATGCACCTCACAGATTCCCAGCACTCCCACACAGCCGGAAGCCCCTAAATCTGACCTACACCTTCCCTCATCTGTGCATGAAGGGGGGTGCAGAGCAGATGAGATGAAGCCTTCTGTGGGGGAGGCCCTCTGCCCCACTCTCCCAACCCCCAACCTCTGAGGGACTGTCAGCTGGGCTCCTCATCCCCATGCATTTCGCCACAGCCCACTCCTCACCTGCTAATTGAGAGGAGGGAAAGGCCAGCTCATCCTTGCACTGGGGCTCCCTGGCAGGCTCCAAAGGCAAATGCAGCAGCTCTCCCTGGCTCAGGAAACCCTCTAGGGTGCCCCTGCACCCTGGCACTCACATTCATGAGGAAGCTTAAGTTCATGGAAGGGTCATCCAATGACCCTCACCCTCTTTCCAGCAGGGCTATGGCACCAGGGATTAGAACTCCCTCCATCCCTCCACTTCCCAAAAATGCTCCTCTCCTAGCACCCCCCACACCCCACTCACAGAGCTCCTGACCTGGAGAACAACATTAACCAGCATTCAGTGAGTGCTCCTGTGTGCACAGCACTGTGCCAGCCAGGCTGTCTGTACATCACGGGGCCACGTCAGCCCCACGTCACCGCATGGATTCCAGCCCTGGTACAGTGCTTGCATGTGGCAGACAGAAATAAGAATTTATTGAATAAATGATCAGACAGGGGGCTTTCCACCTCTGCGCTCATGAAATACCTCAACCATCCTGTGAGCCAGGTATTATCTCAATTTAAGGAAATAGAGAGCAGACCAGGGGGCCTAAACTCACACAACAATTGGCAGAGGAGCCTCTGCTCGGCTCTGACCCACAGAGTCCCTCCACAAAGAAGGCATGGAAAGGCAGCTCAACACAGCCCTGCCCCGCTCAGGACAGAGCTCCGCTCCAGGCACGCTGAGTCCCCATTTCTTGCCCACCAAACCACAACTCCAGGAAGTGCAGGCAGCAGCCCCTGCATCTCCCTGGCAACCTAGGAGCTTTTGTTCTCCAAGAATGGAGCTGATTCATCCCCACCTGCCACCCCAGGGTGAACAGCAGGGGCTGCCAGCAAAAGCTAGCAGGGTCTAGACCCCTGCTGCAGCCAAGAACCATCCAGGCTGAGCTGATGGCTGCTGCATGCAAGGTGCCTAGCTGGGCTTTCAAAGCAAGGGTGCCCAGTGCTCTCCGTACACACTGGCCAGAATCCTGTCACCAGGGCTCAGCAGGCGGACAGCATAAGCCAGGAAAGCCTCACCCCCAGGCCTCCCATTGCTTCAGCCCCTTCCTCTTCACCACACCCTGGGGCTCCAAACACACAACCCACTGGCCTTCACCCAGCGCCATGTTCTTGGCTCTGGTTCCATGCCTTTGCACACCTGTCCCTCAGACTGCAAAGCCCCTTCATTTCTTGTCCCTTTTTGGGGATTTCTCATCCTTGAACTGGAGGCTCTGATGTGGTCTCCCCCCCCCCGCCCACCTCCAGCAATTCTCCGCGAGCAAAATGTGTCACAGGTCTTGGGTACCCCACAGCCCTGTGCTCTCCCAGGGGCATCCCTTTCTTGGGGTTGTGACCACCCTCCACTAGAGGGTGAGCTCCTGAAGGCAGAGAGCTGGGCAGCTTCAACTCCAGCCTGAGGTGAGGAAGCACCCCCAGGAGCTCTGAAAGTCATTGGAGTGTGGAACTGAGCAACCACTGGAGACTGTTACCAGTGGAGATGCTCCCCCACACCACTGTCAAGCCTGGCCAGTGACCTACTAGGGCCAATGAAATGGAAGCGGGTTGGGACATGCAGAACTCTGAGCTGATTTGTGCTTCTCTACCCGTATCACTAAAGGCATGGCAGAGAGTGGTGCCTTCTCAGCCTGATTCCTGAAGTGAGGAGGATGATGACAGGCTAGCAGCACCCTCAGGCCAGCCCATGATGGACGTGTAGCCTGCGTGAGATATCGGTCACCAGGATTGGAGGCTGTTGTCACTGTCACCCAGGCTGGCCTATTCTGACCATGCAAGGAAGGAGCAAAAAAATGCCACATGCACCTGCCCAGGACAGCACAGGTGCCGGGACTCTGCAGACTACCATGAACGTGTGTGCCCCTAGCTGGCTTTCTAACTAGGCCTATTGCATGATGATGACCCCAAACCAGATTTCCAGAACAGGAACAGAACCTATGGGGCACATTAGAAGGATTGAGGTTTGGAGGCTGACAGATTTGAACTCATATCCAAGCTAAGATATATCCATGACCTTGAACAAGTTCCTTCACCTCTGTGAACCTCAGCATTCTTATCAAAAAGTCAATACCTACCCCCCAGGGCATTCTTAAGATGTCAGGAGGACAAACTGTGTGTCAAGGGCCAGGCACACTGGGAGTCTTCCATCGCTCATACATGCCAGTCCCTCAAATTAGCTCTAAGGTCCCTGAGAGGGGGGAGGAGCAAGATAACTCCATCCAGCCAACTTAGCATGGCCTCTGAGATGATGTCCCCTGTCACCTATGCAGGGCACAGAGAGGTCCCAGGCTCCTGGGGTGCTGACCTCACTGAGGTCGCCAAGCCAATGCTCCAGCTTATATCACCATGCCCACCCCACACACATGCACGCAAAGGGCAGCATTCTGAGAGATCCCATTTCTGCCTCCTCTGGGGCACCTGGGTCCTGGCCTGCATAGACCCTTTGTTCATTAGGGCTTCTCCTGTCTTGGTCCCCTCAGTCCTTCCTCTCTTCCTCCCTGACCGCAGCTGGCCCTTTCCTCAGGCTCAACTCTGAAGCAGAATGCTCTTTTGAGACAGGCTGGCAGCAATGTTCTGGAAGTAGAGGTTACATCCTGTTGCTTCCTGCTGTCCTTCTGGGCCTTCAGACTTGTATGATGAAGGCGATCAAGAGGGAGTGACTCTGAATGAAGAAGGGGTCCACAGGAGCCAGAAATGGCATCTCTCAGAATGCAGAAAGCCACCACAGCTCCTGTCTGAGAAGGCTCCAATGCTGATGGGCATAGAGACTTGGGACCCATGTGGAAATGCCCATCAGAACATCACACTATGCAAAGACACTAACAGGACTCATTTGCACAGACATGGGAACCCCATTTGCCAATCACTTCTTAGATGTTAGGCACCCTGATGGGTGACTTACATGTACATCCCATGAAAACCCTACAAGATGCCTGCCATTATCCCATTTTATTGTGCAAGGGGGCACCACGGCTTCCTGCAGAGGAAAGAACAAGGAGGCTCACAGGTGAGTCTCAAGCTCCTTCCTACAGACACCTCACAAAATTAACCATCCTCTTCTCTTAATGGCTGAACAAATCTATCCTGATTTGTAGGCTTTCCTGGAACTGCATTTATAATTGCGTTCAGTGAAAAACGTTTTAAATGAATCTAATTCTTCATAGTTTGGAAACATGAAACATCTGCTTTGTCTCAGCAACTGTACCTCTTGATTAAAACAACTATAAACCATTTCTCCTGCCCCTTCAAATCATGGGCTCCTTGAAGGCAGGGGCTGCTAGGAATTATTCTCCCCAATACCCACAGGAGCCTGGAAAGAGTATTGGTCAGTGGCAGATTAAAACATTAAATTATCCCTTCTCATCTCATTCCAACAATTGCCTCCTCTCCAGCATCCCTCGCATCTTCATCTTCTCCATTGCCCCCGTCATTAAATAAAGTCAAATTATCTGTATTTTTAAAAACACCTCAGACTTCTGCTTCTGACCAAGATGGAGTAAAAGGGACCAGATTTACCCTTCTTCCTGAAACAACCCCAAAAAATGGTAAAGTATATGAAATGATGGTTTTCAATATACTGGAGATGAGACAACAAAGGACAGTGATCCCTGAGGGACTAAAATAAAAAAGATGAGCCCTGCGATTGCCTCAGCCTACTGCCTTAAGTTTGCAGAACAACACTGGCAGGGGTTGGGGGGAGGGGGAACACAGGCAGAGTCCAGCAGATGCCCTGAGCTGAGGATGAATCTGAGCATCGAGAGAGATAGAGGCAGCCAGAGTATCAAGACAGAGTACCAAAGAGAGATGTACACAAGGTGAGAAATCTGGAGAGTTTTCCAAAGATCCCCCTGAAGTATTCGACAGAGTTTATCTTTTCCAAGGTCAGGAAAAGATCCACTCCAAAAGATTTGAGGGACTAGCACTTCACATAGGGCCAAGAACAGTGCCATTTTCAACCAAAATCTCATGATCCACTTTGGGTAGATTACATTAAAAGTTCCCGCCCCAGCTGTCACAGCTGTAATCCTGCCTAACAAGTGGTGAAAGCAAGACTCAAAAGGATCAAACTGGTTCCAAATAACTTAACCACATCCCAGAATAAAGTTCAAGAATATTTCTAGGAATACAAAAATATCCATCACAATATCTATAACCCAATGAAAACTCGGGATTTTTTAAAAGAAGCAGGAAAATACAGCTGACCCTTGAGCAACATGAGGGTTAGAGGAGCCAATCCCTGTGCAGTCAAAAATTCATATATAACTTTTTATTTCCCCAAAACTTTACTGCTAATAGCCTACCATTGACTAGAAGCCTCAACAATAACTTAAACAGTTGATTAACCATATTGTGTGTGTTATATGCATTATATACTCTATTCTTACAATAAAGTAAGCTAGAGGGAAATATTATTTTAAAATCATGAAAATACTTTAACAGTACTGTAGTATATTTGTTGGGGGAAAAAAATCTGTGAATAAGTGGATCCACGGAGTTCAAACCCATGTTGTACAGAGGTAAACTATACTACCCATAGGAAAAGAAAATCAAATCAATCCAAACCAAACCAGTACTGGCAAAGATGTCAGAATTAGCAGACGACGATATTAAAACAGTCCTTATTACTATATGCCATATGTTCAAAAGTTAAACAAAGGCATGAAAGATTGAAAAGAAGATGCAAATTAGAATTCTAGAGAGGAAAAACTGAATTGTGTGAGATTAAAAAATAAACTGAACTGGATTAGCACCAGATGAGATGTAGCAGGAAAAAAAGAACTTAAAAAGTTGGTAAAAGAAAGTATCCAAAATGAAATACAGAAAAGAGGGAAAAGAAAGAAAGAGAGGGAGGGAGGGAGGAAGAGAAAGAGAGGGAAGGAAGGAAAGAAGGAAGACAGGGAGAGAGGGAGGAAAGAAGGAAGAATAAAGAAAAGTATAGTGAGCTGTGGGGCAACTTTAGATGGTCTAACATATGTGTAATTTAAGTCCCAGAGGAGAGGAAAGGGAGAAGGAGAAGAAAATATATTCATAGAAATAATTCATGAAAAATTTCCAAGTTTTATGGAAACTATAAAC